GCAACAGCTTTCCTGGTTTGTGTCAAAGTAACTGATAACAAAGTAACTGAAGATGAGCAATAGGAAAAACACAGCAAACTAAAGTTAAAACAACTGGAGAGTTTCACTTATTATTGACTTTTTAAAAGGAGCTGTGTTTTAGTAAGAGTGAACGGTTTTAATACAGTGAACAGAGCAGTACTTCTATCAATAAACCAGACTAGATGGAAGTGTAAGACATGCTAAATTTAGATGCAACCAGTTCTGAGACACTCAGCAACATGAGAAAGATGGGATCAAACGTACCACCCTTTAATCATAGATGGAGATAATACAAGGCTTTTCAACCAAATCTTATGATGCTGCAAAAACCCTGCTGTCTCATGAGCAAATTAGCAAGCTTAAACACTGTCAGTGAAGTAGGTCTGGCATGGGGACAGACATTCAAAGAGGAGAAAGTCCTAGACAGCACGCAAACACCATGACAGGGCTGTTGGCGACCTACCGTTCAGATATTTAGGTTGCACTTTCCCAACCGTAACAAGGTGGGTGTGCTTCCTGTAGGTCTACATCCCCGATTTCACCTGCAGCGAGCCAGCTCCCTCCACGCTGCAGGACCCTCACCTTGTTGTAGAACTCCTGCTCCCTGGGACCGCGAGGTGGTGGCTGCAACTGCTTCAGGACAGTCCCATCTGGATGCTGCAGTATACCTAAAAGAGAAGCATTTCCTTCAGGGCTTATTTTTAAGAGATACAGCTTTTGTTCAATTTTTTTTTTTTTGTTGGGTTCCTCCCCTCCCCCAGAAATAGCAAAATACACCATCAGGGACAGCTTATTTGCAAAGTTGTACTGCTTTCAGTACATGCACAGTAGAGTCAAAATTGGCAGCTCCCACACAAGACCCTTAGCAGAGGTTTGATTGCATTCCTCTTTTTCTAGCCATCAGATGATTTCCTGGGTCTAATTCTGCTCAAGGCCAACACAGTACTGGGATTTGACATTAAAAGTTCCACCCAAAAAAAAAAAAAAAAATCATTCAACTATGGGAGATTACACAGACACTCCCTTTTTAAATAACTAAATAACTGATAAGTTGTTTTTCCAACAATGCCAAGAAGTTAAAGGAGTTAGTTAGTACCAAGTTTAATGCATTTCTCACTAACTAAAATAGAAATACACGTCCTGTGAATGCATTTCTGTACTAGTGTCATGGAAAGAAGAACACTTCTATATTACTAGACGTAGCACCCCTATTGCACTCCATGCTAATCAATCCATGCTAACCACCTTCATCATGCCTGCACCAAAAAAACCTAAAATAACCTCCCGAAACAGCCTTAATGACTCTCCAGTCAGCAACATTGCTGAGTGGCTGCGTAAGAAATGCAACTGAATATCTGAGGGTACTGAAGAGAGAGATACGGGCAAGAATGGAGAAAAGTAACTGCATCCCTGCAAAATGCATTCTAAATTTCAAGATCATCAGTTGCAAGTGAAAAAGAAAAACCCTGCTGGAAAGAAATTTTCTCCTAGGATTCATTCCCAGCTTTTCAGATAGTTATTTATTTTGCTTAGAAGGGCAAGCAAAAATGTCAACTGTATCCAAAACAGGTTCCATCTTCAGCTTACCACTTGAGGAAACACAGAAAAGCGAGCCAGGAGCTTTGTGTCCCAGAAAGAGTTTGCAGTTGTTAACAGTGACTGTGTTTTCACCTTTTAGAAAGCATTATCTCTGAATGGGTTTTGTTGTGCAGTCTTAGAAACTAAACAAAATCTTTAGAGCCTAAGTTATTTACTTTAAAACAACCACCAGACTTAGAAAAGTTGTTTCATTAGTTGGCTGTGCCAATGAACAAAGAGTATTTTAAAAAAACTTGAGTAAAAGAGCTCTCAAGTCACGCTGCTTGCTGAAAATTGGACCTTGTATCCTTTCCAGAACCAGAAAAATACAGCCACGCGACAAGGTGCAGACTACCACAACATCTTCAAGACACCATAGCTTCTCTCCCACCACCACCCCCCCCAGAATCCTTTGCTAAGTGGTTTCCAGCATGTGTAAAGTGCACAAAGTACGTGAACAGCACGTATTTTGAATGCGAATTGCTAACAATCACAACATTTAAAAAGGTTTTATAACACATACTCCTCAAAATCTGCATGCTGGCTTTGATAAGACAATCCATGAGGTAGAAAGGCCAGGCAAATATTCCTGGAAGTAGAAGCCATACACAATCGGATTGATACGTATTACTCAGAGTTTAACATAACCTGACATTGTCTGAAGTTCCCTCATCCTCTGGATTTCTTGACAGACTGAGCACCTCCTCTGCAACTGTGGCTGAGGCAGGCCTGGAAACCAGAGAGTCACGTTTCAACAGTCACCACGAAGATGAAAACTCCGTAACCTTCCCTCTGATCTACAGCAACAACCAGAGATACCATCACCTGCAATCATACCAACGTAGGGATGTTGGTCATGGTTTTGTTCTAGGGTTCCTGGGGTTTTTCAGCATGGATAGTGAATAGTATTGTTTTAATATAGGAATAAGCAATTTAACATTTCTGAAGAAGCAGCAGCAGAACTATACCAAAATTAAAATTCTGAACTATCTCACAAACATTCCTCTAGGGCTCTGCACACAAAGCTTGCTAGCATTGCAAAACTCAAATCTACTGCAAAAATAACCACTATGGGTGTACCCACTCTTCTAAACAGAACAATCACATCCAATCCACAGGCTTCACCGAACTAGAGTCAAAACCTGTTCTGCACAAACACACCAAACATTTACTTTAGGAAAGATCCGCTGCCCTCTGCGGGTATCTAATAAGGAGCAACCAGTACGTGTGTGCCGCCTTAGCCTTTCCATCGGGAAAACAGCAGCCAGGGTTACAAGTTTTGTGATTTGCACAACTGAGCAAGCCACACCAAAAAGCGAACGGCTCCTTTAGCTACAGAGTCCCACTGACGGCTGGGGGACCCCCAGCGCTTTGCAGGTACCCGCACCAAACCACAGCCAAGCGCGGGAGGCTCTCTAAGGTGGCCTATCCCATCAGCTCCCGTCTCTCTCCACCTGCCTGTGGAATTAAGCCACAACCCAAGGTTGTGGGTGTGTGGTTGTGTGTACCTTACCTACTACATGTGATTTACTCTCTTCCGGGTGAAGCACTGCTGAACACAGCGTTCGACAAATCGTAATGCCCAGAAGCCGAGGGTCTACGCGTGCGTGCAGGGAGACTGCTAGAGCCTCTTCTCTGCAAAGCCGTAACAGCCGCAGGGAGCAAAGGGAAAATGGAAAGGTTATTCAGGAGGGAGGGACCCCAAAGGCAAAGAAATTTTAAGGCACACTTTAACCAAAAATAAAAAAAAAAAAAAAGTTCAAAAATACTTTGGATGTCTTCAAGTCCTCTGCACGTTTGTACGCGGGGACAGAAGGGAAGTCGAGCACAGAGGACAGCGGTGACATGCAGGAGGAAGCTGGGCAGGACATGGAAGGCTCTGAGCTTGAGTCAGTAAACAGCTCAGATATTAACACCAGCCGGGCACAACCTTTAAGGTATGTTTGCTATGTTGTATGTGTAGTAACGGGGATATCCCAACAAAAGGCCATACTGGTTTTATAGCTTTAAGCTTTTAAAATGCTAAAGGTTCAACAGGGTAGAAAAGGGCAGAACGGAAGATGGCAGGAAGGGTGATACTGTAGGAACAGGCAGAAAAGGGAATGGAGAAGGTAAAAGACACACTTGTCTCCTCACACATGCTCAGAGTCCTCACAGGTTCTGGCATACAGGTTGTCTGTGATATTCCTTACCGGTGCCATTAGCAACTACTTATATCCAAACATCTGGCCACTAGCTTCACAACAAAGACACCACGAGGAACAGCACTGCAGAATTATACATGACCCTGTATCTTTGGCATCAAGACTGCCTGCACTCCTACATACAACATCTGTAAAGAAATAAAACGAGAAGGTTCAGTTACAAAAACGAGCGAGCTGTGAGTGCCAGAGCAGCTTTGGTCCTCACATAAATGTAAAACTCAGTTTCTAAGATGAGATCATCAACCGTGGTGGTACGTCTGCAGGAAAAGTCTTGGTCTTGCTCACTACACATAGCAGAGATAGCTTCACCTAATCCATTTGAGCTGCACCCACAATAGAGCTGGTGCATCACCCGTGCTGTCTCAATCCAACTGCGATAAAACTGACGTGCCAAAGGTGAGGCTCTCCCTGAAGTGAGCCTTTCTTTGCCTGATCCCACCCCACGTTATGGCATATGAACAACTTGGAAGATGTACGGCTCCAAGGATCCAAGCCACCTCCCTCAACATTTTATTGCACCGGTTGCAGCAGGGGCAAGGGACACGAATTACTTTGCTGTGGAGATTATCAGCAGCGAGACACACCATGGATGCGGGCTGTAGATAAGACAAACTCGTGGTAGTGCTGTAATTCCACTCACTGACAGTTGAAGGGGTTCTGAAGTTCAGCCCTTGGCCTGTTTGGCAGAGGCAGCTCCTACTGACAGGGTTCAGAGGCAATATGACAGCAGGTACTCGCTATAGCTGCTCTCAAAGGGCACACCGAGAGCTGAATGGATCTATACCTTACACTTGGCTCAGAGGCAGGAGTTAACACCAAATGCCACGTCCTGGAAGGGTGGGAAATGCCATTTGGCAACGTTAACTTGGCCGCTTGCTCTGGCACTGACCACTGTTAAAAGGCACCTTCATCAGAAGGGCCAACACTCACTCCCCAACCTGGAATAGAAATGTAAAGGTAGCAGAGGCACGCTTCAAAAATGCCGTATCCTCTTGATATTTGTATTATTAGACCGCGTACTAGCTGTTGGCTCAGACTTACTGTCAAATAAACAAGCAACTAAAAAGTCACCCCAGGCTGGCGAGCCGCTTACTAACATTGTGCTTAAGCTGCTGGTAGCCATAGCTTTGGGGGCTCCCTTTAGATAACGCGTAGTTTCAACCTACATTCTGAGGGTGCAGCAGGCTGCTACCTAAATTCCTGCTTTTTTAAAAGGTGCCTGTCACAATGCCGCTGAATCGCAGAGGGCCACTGGCTTAAATGTGCCTGTCACCTATCATAGATCGCTTTGGCTGGAAAAGCCCTTTAAGGTCATCGAGCCCAACCATTCCCCTACCCCTGCCATCCCACCACTAAACCCTGGCCCTCAGCACCTC